ATGATGACAATATAATAATAGTAGTAGTAATAATAATAACAATAGTAATAGTGATAATAGTGATAATAATAGTGATGATAATCATAACATGGTTTTGGTAAGCGTGTTGCGTCGCCTGCACCTTTTAAGAATGTGGCTCCTCGATTTGAGGACTGGCCCTTTGCCGAGAGATAAATGCCATCTGACCCCAGTCATTGATAACGAATGTCCTTGAATGTCAAAAGGGGGGGGGGCAAATCCTCTTCCTGGGCCCGTCTTCTGAGTAATAAATAATAACCACGTGCGCTCAAGTCAATTTGGACTCAATGGCGAGCCTTTTTTTTTTCTTCCAGGTAGGAGATGCTCGGAAGTGGTTGAACCTTTCCTGCTTCTTCCGGGGGGTGTCCTGGGGCTGTGCAGCTTGCCCGAGGCTGCCCAGGCTGGCCCTACTCGCCAACCACCCAGTTATTTAGGTACCTGGCTGTGGGGCCAGAGATTGGGAGTTGGTGCCTCTTGAGAGCAGAGCCAGCCTGGGTAGCCTTGGGCAAACTGCTCTGTTTTCCCAGGGCTCCCCTGGTATGCCCGATAGGAGAGCCTTTGCTTGGGGGGGGCAATCTCTTGATCCCCCACGGATAGTGCTGGAGGGCAGAGACAAGCAGCTCCTGGCCATCGCTGATTCTCAATGGAAACGGTGGATTGGATCCCTATTTCAGAGCTGGGAAGAACGAGGTGGGAGGATGCCCCCCCCAAAAAAAAGCTGGTTAGAGGATGCATACCTGAGGCTGGGCTGAAATCTTTTCATTCCATGCAGTAACTTATTTTCTTCCTTAATTCATTACTTTTAGCTCCACCGTAAAAATATGCCTTTGTTTCCCAGTGTGCTTATTTAAGGGATTTATTTTGCAGTCGGGGGCCGGGGGTCAGCTGGTATGTTGTTGCTGTGGATAGAATGTTGGACTAAGATTCAGGAGACCTGGGTTCGAATCCCCACTCGGCCACGGTAACCCCTTCCTTAAACGTCTCATGGATCACTAATACTCTGTTAAGGTCACCAAAGTTGGAAGCGATTTGAAGGCACATCATAAGAACAGTACAGGTTGCTGTTTGGTAATATTTGTGGTAATCTGAGCAAGACATTTTGCTGTATGAGACACGACAGTATTCGTACTACGGCTGGTTCCATGTATGGCACCATCTGGTTTAGCGCTAGAGGATGGGAGCGCATCCGTGGACCACAGGGTGTTAGCTTGATGGGGTTTTGTCCACTTGCATGGCGTGCTGAGTTTTGTGGTTCAACCACAGGAAAGGTATTTCTTCCATCCCATTGAAGCACAAGCTCATTCTTTAGCAGCCCTGTCTGCGCTATGATTAATTATATATAATGCAACATTATAAGCAGTCGCATCCTTTCACTGTGCAGAGGGTATAGATACAGGCCAATAGGAGCTATGCACCTGCCTTTTTTTATCCACACTGCACGCTGCCTTCTTTTGAAGCATCTGAAATAAGTATTGGTGTTTCAGGGTGTTTTTCTTTAGTATTAAAAGAGTGTTTACAGAAGGAAGGTTTTGTGTTACAGATTAGGAAACAAAATGAACACACTGTAGCGCAACATGTTTTCTTCCTAGAATAACAATGAAATTGCTTTTTTTTTTTAAAAAAAAGGAAAATGATGTAATTCAAGCCACTTGATTTGCTAGAACCCCTGTGGATGCCGTCCCGGTGATTGATCGGCCTTCGTGAGCTGGCAAAACGTCTCTCATGTAGCTCCAAAGCTGATTTATATTCCCGACAAGACTGTCAAATATGTTAGGCTCATATATTTGAGACGCACTGAAGCTGCTGTTTTTATTTCCTCCAGAACTGGTACTCTCCAGTGCCATTGGGTTGTACGTGGACGATTTTTGTGTGGTGGACTTTGTGCCACTCAGTAACCCCATTCACGCGTAACGTTAAACGATGGTTTGCATTAACTGTGGTTTATTGTTTTGCCTTGCAGAGGACCGGATGCACAAAAGTCCCCCTATTTCTTATATATTTTTTTTCTTCTACTGCTGCTTCTCTCCGGCCTGATTTCCTATAGGCTTGTACGGTAGCATCTTTCAGAGAGAGACAACCCCATGTCTGAATCAGGGGGTTGTAATCCACGAAAGCTCAGATTGACGCCAGGCTGTTAGTCTGTAGGGTGCATTATACGTCTGTTTCCTCTCAGGTGATTAAGCTGGGGAAGGAGAGCCATCATCAAGCGAATTTGGGCTGTATGTATTGTTTTTATTAGTAAAATTTACTTCCAAGCCTTTCCTTCACTGAAGTCAAAGTGGGGTGTGCGTTTCTCCTTCCTACTGCTTTATCTTCCTTCCTGGCGACCTGCAGGCTGAGAGAGCGTGGTGGCCCAGTGAGTTTTCGTGGGTGAAAGAGGGGATTTGAACTCAGATCTCCTGAGTCTCAACCAATTTGCTTTACTTTTCTGGAAGCCCAGATTCTAACACCATAACAGGATGGCAAACCGCCTCTAAAATTCAACAGACTTCAACCGGCCTTATCATCACAGAGCTAGAAGGGTCCCTGTGGATCATGGAGGCATGCGGGGAGGGGAATTCGAACTCCCAAACTACTTATGTGGCAGGGAGTTCCAATGTCTGAGAGCACCACCGAGAAGGCCCTCTTCCGTGTCCTCCCCCACTTTCACTGTATCTGTGAAGGTGATGGGATTGATAGAAAGGCCTCCCTTGATGATCTTAACACCCGAGCTGGCTTATAAAGGGAGACGCATTCCAAGAATCCAAGCCCTTTAGGGATTTATAGGCTAAAAACAAGCTGTTTAGGGCTTTATAAGTTAGAACCAGCACTTTGAAGTGTGCCTGGAAACAGACTGGCGGCCGTTGTAGCTTCTGTAACGGGAGGTTACATAATCCTTGTAACCAAGGAGGGTGGACTTGGTGAGGTTAATATCTAGGATGGGGAAAACGCACGGAAGTAACCACCATCCAGATTTCAGACGTGGATGGCAGTCCAGGAGGCGAAGCCGTCTGAAATCAGGGCTCCGTAGCTCGCTTAGTGAAAACACTTCTTTCTTAGCCTCTGGGATTTCAGAGATGAACGCCCAGCTTAAAACCACATCAGCACAACCGTAAAAAATTTCCGCGTTGACTCCGAAACAGCCACATCTGCAGGAAACTGTCCACGGTAGTCACCCAAGCCGTGTTAGAAAGAGGAGGGAGGGAATTTTATCTCCTGGTCTCTGAAATTCTCCCGGCCCTGACCCGAAGGTTTTGTCGTGTCGTCTAGAAATATGTGCAACCTTGGTCTCTCCCAGCCACCACTTCGGATATCTCTTTTAACCTTTGGCTCATCTTTCCATCAAATCTCTTAGAACTTCAGAGGGCTACGAAGCCTTGAAATGCCACCGGAGACCCCCAAGGGCTGAGCCTGGATGGGTTTGCTTACCCAAGCCCGTACAGCCGGCTAAGCTGGGTGTTTGTAGGAACGGGAGGTGGAAGACTCGAATCCGGGCCTTCCCTTGGTTCTGAAACCTTCCTCATCCTCGGCACCGCTTACTTTAAGCTTCACGCCCGTCGGCTTTCAGCCTGTGTCTCTTTTCTTGCTAAGAACTCTGCCGCTCGATCCCGGAAGGTCACGATTCTGGGATCTTAGTTCATGCGTTTGGCGCAGAAGGGAATACGGATTTGCAGGACTCAGCCGCCTTTGTTCAATGCGTTCTGTACGTGTCTGCTCACCCTCGTTAGCTTGGAATCCTGCCTTTTAATGATGTAAGCTGCCTTGGGTCCTTTTTAAATATGAAATATAAACATCCTATATATTATTTAAATGTAAAATGTTATTAATTAATTCTGGGGAGCTGGAGAATTCTCGCCCGACTTGTGACTTTTTTTCCGCAAACCTAGTGTTGCCTGCTATGGAATCTTGTTTCCGTAATGAAATCGTGCAGCGGCTACTTAAGGCGACTCAGACGATGAAGATCCCCAGTGGGTCTGCCAGCGGGCCACGCCACGTCCGGCGTTAAGGGAGTCGTGTGCCAAAAAAGAGAGAGAGAGAAAAAAGAACTAACATGAGCAGGTCTATTTGGTGGAATTTTAAGTCCCTAAATTCCAGCAGATGTTCGCCCAGAGTGGAGATCATCCTGCTAAGGAGAGGCCAGAGAGAAAGAAAAATAGTAATAACCAGGCAGAGTGTGAGCTGGACATAGTAATAGGTCACCGTGAACGTAGACGCCCAGTGATGGCAAGGAGTTTGAGGCCCAAAGATGACTAATACAGAGCATTACGAGCGGAGGCGACTGGAGGTAGCCTTTAGGAGCCGGGCCGAGCCAAACATCTCCCATCAGCGGAATTGCTTCTCCGAGGATTGCCCGAGAGTTGTTGATTAAATGGAACGACTCCAGAATCAAGTGGGCTCCAGCCAGGCCTCCATTCATCATGTCTGCAAAGCTCTCCATGTAAGATATGGGTTACGGAGTCGATCGTCCCTGCCAGCGGAGCGTTAAGTTTTGCCTTTGCAAACTTTTCCCAGGGACCGCTGGACAGTGGTGGAGGAAAATGGATGTGTTTTTTTTAAAAATCCAATTGTTATAAAATTTTAAAAAGTTTTTTTTAATGGAAGTGGTTTACAAATATCCTGTTTTAAAAATTTAATTTGTCCAAAAAAAGTCCAGTTTTTAAAACTTTGAATTGTGATTTAAATCAAGTTTTGCCCCGGAGGTATACCGAACCTGTCGGCAGGTGTTTTTTGTAAACCAGCCTCTTTTTCTCACCTGTATGCATTAAGTTGTCTCGATTTAAATCAGTCCATCTGGTTTTCCTCTACCTCCTTCTCCCACATTGATGGTTCACAGAGTGATTGTCTGGGCAACCTTTGTGTGTGAGAGAGCTTTCTGGCTAGTGCAGAAACAGGATCCCTTTTTCACTAAGGGGATCCTTTCCGGAGTGGTGTCTCGCCCTTTCTAATCTCCTACCTCGTCAGAAGATGTCCTCAATTCAGACTTCTTCCCCGGACTTCCGAATAAGACCGGAATAATTCATGACCTCTTGCACGCAAAAGTTCGCCTACCCACCGAAACTTGTGCACATCGTTTGTAGCCCAAAAAGATTGAGAAAAAAAAAGGACAATTTCGATGAAATTCCTGACTGGTCGCTTGGAGGAATTTCTGCTCATCGCAGGCGAGTGGTGGTTTTGAGCGTCGGCTCACTCCTTCCTTTCTGTTGGCTAACGGGTTTGGTTTATCCCTTTCAGAGGCTGGAAAGATGCATGGGGACCGTCACCTCTCTGACCAGCGGCGTCTCGGAGAGGGAAGCTAACGATGCCCTGAACGCTCACGTGAGTCTCTCCTGCCTTGCAGATTATTTTGTGGTACTTCTGGATAAGTCTTCTAAGATGTGACTTCCTTGGCTCCTTGACTTTATTTTATAGGATTCTCTCTCTCTCTCTCTCTCTCTCTCATGTTTTCATCTTTGTTTATTGAAATGCATGTATAGTACCTGGGTGGGGGACAGCTGCCCTCTGTAGTTCCAGGTTGTGCATTTTATTTGATCAGATGATCCTGGTGTGGCTTCGGGCCATGATGGCTTGATGTCCTCCTGCTCCTGTCCTGGGAAAACTCTCTTGGGGAGTTTATCTCTTCGTCAGAGCTTCGGCGTCTTGTTGAATTCTTTGCCTTCATTTCCCCCTTCTTCAGGTGTGCAAAGGATCCCCGCAGCACGAGGAGATATGCTTAGGGTTGTTCACCCTGATCCTCACCGAGCCTGCTCAGGCACAGAAGGTAAACATCCTGGCTCTTGTTTGGAAAAGCTCTGTGGATGCTTAGGCCCAGCGTTTCTCTTTCTGTCGTGTGCCGTGCAAAGGATTGCAAATGGTTTAATGTATTCTCAAAGGCACCTCCTGGTGTTCAGGAGGGATTTGGGGGTGGGTGGTTGTGGGCTACAATCCCCACAATTCTAGCTACTGAGAGTCCTACTGGACAGACAGACAGACAGACAGCTCTGTCGTGTGCAAAGGATTGCAAATGGTTTAATGTATTCTCAAAGGCACCTCCTGGTGTTCAGGAGGGATTTGGGGGTGGGTGGTTGTGGGCTACAATCCCCACAATTCTCCATTCTGAGAGTCCTACTGGACAGACAGACAGACAGACAGCTTTCAGGCATCTATATTTAGCTCGCCTGGAAGAAAGGCCTATACGGGAAGGCTTGGTGTTCAGGAGGGATTTGGGGGTGGGTGGTTGTGGGCTACAATCCCCACAATTCTCCATTCTGAGAGTCCTACTGGACAGACAGACAGACAGACAGCTTTCAGGCATCTATATTTAGCTCGCCTGGAAGAAAGGCCTATACGGGAAGGCTTTTCAGGCATCTATATTTAGCTCACCTGGAAGAAAGGCCTATACGGGAAGGCTTTGAAACTAGGCCTAGCTCTACTCAAGCTTCCTGTTCTTGCCCCAGTGCTCGTTGGGAGCTTTTCTTCTGAACAGGATGTACAAGATGGAACTAGGCCTAGCTAGGTCGCAAGATGGAACTAGGCCTAGCTACCCTGTTTCCTCGAAAATAAGACCTAACCCTGAAAATAAGCCCTAGTGTGATTTTTCAGGATGCTCGTAATATAAGCCGTACCCCAAAAATAAGCCCCAGTGAAGTGAAAGCCCTCCACCCTTGGTGCAGCCACCAAAAAAAAAAAAAAGACGACAGGACTGTAAAATAAAACATCCCCTGAAAATAAGCCCTACTGCATTTTTGGAGCAAATAAGACTGGGTCTTATTTTGAAAATAAGACCCTGTATTATTTTGGGGGGAACATGGTAGGTTGCAGGATGGAACTAGGCCTATCCAGGCCACAAAGCTTTTAAAAAAACAAATGGCATAATGCATTTGCAGCTCGATTCTGCTTTATGGAGCTTTATTTTTGCAAGTCCTTGATGGCCTTGTACCCCCCACTTCCAATTCAATTATTCTATGATTCCTCCTTCCACTGCCCTCTCCTCTGCCGCCTTGACCCCTGCCTGCCCCCAGCACCAAACATTAGCTCTGTAAAAACTCAACCCGCTGCCGACAGAGACATAGGCATGTGTTGCATGCGCAGAGATGTGCTGTCTCCAGCACCACTTCTCCCCCCTTTGAGGGTTCTTGCTTTTAATTAACGTTCTGGATGGAGACTTTTCTTCTTCTCTTTCTGTTTTTTTTTTCTTTTTTTCATCTTGCACCCTGGCTTCAAAGCCGCTGCCACCTTGACGCCTCTTCCCTCTCTGGAGCTTTCCTCTCTAGGGTGGGCCATAGCGGCTCAGTTCTGATTTATTCCTCTCTGCAGCACATCCGTCAAGCCGCGTTCCCTTTCGTCTAATGAAATGGGTTGCGTTAGGAGGAGAGGGGAGGGTGGGTGGCCGGGGCTCGGCGGCGGAAGCGGTGGTGGAAAATGAATCGTCGTGCGGCAAATAATGAAATCATCTGGATCTCTCCCTTTTCCGGCTGCTGCTTCAGGGACCCTTCTGCGTTAACATAAAACTCCCTCGTGGATCAGGCATAGGCTGGGTTCGTGTGTAAAAGCTGAGTGGCTTAAGTCTCTCTGGCTGTGGAGCCAGACGTCATGAGTTCGATTCCCCCACTGGGCTTCCTTGTCCGGGGCTGGACTGGATGATCCGTAGAGTCCCTTCCAGCTCTGCGATGCCAATTCAAGGAGGGTTCTGCTTTGTATTCATCTTGGACATCATCTCCCTGAAGAAACAGTAGCTTTTTAAAAAAAAAATCTGTTGCAAACCATAATTAGAAGCTTTCCCTGTTCTCTTGCAAACAGAAACTTAGAAAGTCTTATTGTAACTCACGCTATCAGCCTGGCTACAGGTCTCCGGGTTTCCGGTGGCGATCCTTTCCTCGCCCTGTCTGGGGATCCTCTCCAAGCACTAGCCAAGCCCAACTTGGCTTAGCTTCCAAAAATCAGACGGGATCGGATGCATGTAGGACCACGGAAATCGGTTCTAAGCCTCCCTGCGGATGCTGAAAACGTCGACGTAATGGAACGCTATACATTGCGTGGTTTCTGTTTCCTTCCAGTTGCCACGTCTGGTCAATACACCCTGGAAATGCATTTAAATAGGTATTTCTAGGGTGTGTGTGTGTTGTTTGTATTTTCAGTCAGTGAATTAGCGGGTATTGATCCCCCGTATAGAGGGAGTCCTGCCGGAGTAGCCGTCGCAATGTCTGGATGGGTTTTGTGGAAGAGGATTGCTTTCTTTTGTGTGTGTGTGTGTTGTTTTGTATTTTCAGTCAGTGAATTAGCAGGTATTGATCCCGCAGATAGAGGGGGTGCTGCTGGAGTAGCCGTCGCAGTCTGGAGGGGTTTTGTGGAAGAGGATTGCTTTCTTTTTAACCTCCGCGCCTCTTTATCTAAAGAATGCTGCCTCGCTTTGTGAATCAAAGGCGCTGTTTTGGCGGATTATATTCTGTTTGGTGGCCGTTCAAGGCTTGAAGTCCACCTCAGTCTTCGTCTGGACTTAGGAGGGAAAACCCCAAGTGAAACATCTGGCGTACATCCTGTCCTTTTCGGGCAAAAGGAGAGCTTTGTCTTCTCAGTGTGAGCGGTCCTCTAGACGCGTGCAGAGTGCTTCCTTTTATCCCGGGTGGGATGCTTCTGTGGCCTCCTCTCCTCATCTTTCCTGCCGGCCCGCACCTAACACATCAGATGCTTTCGAAGGGTCAGAAGCCATTGGGGGTTTTAATTTTAATTTTTGCTGGGGGCGCCGTTCGGCGTTTGAACGCAGCCCGAAAGGTTGAATGACGCGTCTGTGTCTTTTTGAAAGGGCGCTGGGTTTAATCAAAGGCCCCTTCCAGAACGTCATTAACCTCTCGAAGGGGGAATGAATAAGGGGGGCCGCCTCCCTTCCTGTCTCGGGGTGGTGGTGTGACATTTACCAGCGCTAATGATCCCTAACGAAGAAACTGTTGAACCTAACGAAGAAGCTACGCCGCTTTCTGGTCTCCCATGTCAGTCACTTCTCATTTTAGACCTTTACAGCTTCTGGTTTTGGCGCATGGACCAGAAAACACATCCGTATTTGACGATATCCAGAACGCGATGCAGAGCGTGACGAATATTATGGGGATGGTTACATTTATATCCCAGTGTTTCCTCACGTGAGCTCAGGGCGGTGCACGTTCTTCCCCCATCTTCCTAACAGCCCTGCGAGGAAGGCCGAGAGGGTGCTGCGACTGGGCCAGTACGTTCTGTGGCTAAGCAGGGATTAGAACCCAGGTCTCTCGTGGCCCAGCCCGAGGCCCCACTGCCTCTCAAGTGGCTCAGTTTGACAAAGTGTTATTTTGCCGTTGTGATTTGTGTTTTCGACTGTCGGTGACTCCCTTAATTTTCAGGCCACCTTGTCACGTTGTTACTGCTACCACCACCAACAAAAAGGCATTTCCCCCAGTTTTTTACCCAGTTCTCACATTTTAGGTTCTTAGGTTGAGTCCCGTCTCTCCCCCCCCGGCACCCCCAAAAACGGCGCCCTGAATCCTCTTCCAACCTGCTTTTTGTCCCTGCAGAGTTACCGGGACCTGGCGCTCGTCAGCCAAGACGGGATGAGCACCGTCTTGAACAAGATGAACCAGATCCTGATGGAGAAATACTTGAAGCTCCAGGACACGTGTCGCACCCAGGTAAGGCTTCAGCGCGTAAGAGAGCAGGTGGGGAAACACCAGAGGTGAGGGGTCTTTTGCCCGAGGCTCTTAAGCTCCAGCCAAAAAGCCCCCCCTTGGCAGCTCCTCTGTGGAATCTAGAATTCTGCAACTACGAAGCCCAGGTTCCCCAACCAGAGTATGCACTGTGGATTCCCGAGTTCCCTTTGTTGGCCCTGTACCGGCTCCTTTCCCGGACCGGTTCTGGCCATTTCCCCCCCCGGAAATGGGTGGGAGAAATGCGAGAGGACAGCCATGTAGGAACTCCGGACAGTGAGCAGGAAATAAGTCCGGAGAGTCAGCTGGACGTCCCAAATCTGATTTTTCCCCCCCAGCCCCTAGGCGTGAACTTGCTCTGGGATTTCGGCCGCGGAAATGTGCTCCTTGTGCGGCCTCGAGATTGTGGCTTCTTTTAGGCAGTCCGTCCCTCTCGCCTTTGGTCTTCCTCTTGTCCTGCTGCCTTTCCACTTCCTCTAGTAGGGTTGTCTTTTCCAGGGAATCCTGCCTTCTCAGGATGTTCGCGCCCCCCCCCCCCGAGCAGGAGAGCTTCAGCTTCAACATTTTTGCCTCTAGGGATGATTCAGGTTGAATTTGATCTGGCACCCAATTCTTAAGGTTTTTTTTTTGGCTGTCCTCGGTACCTGCAATGCTCTTTCCTCCAGCACCCCCTTCCAAACGAATCCAGTTTTTTTCCCCCCTTGCTTCACCGTTTTTAACAAACAGGTTCTAAATCTTACCCCTTTGCTCCTGCGCTTTTGCAGATGGTGTGGCTTCTGCGGGAGATGGTGAGGAGCGGCGTGCTTGGCAGTGACGGCATCTGTATGACCTTCATGAAGCAAATTGCGGGTGAGCCAGCTGGGTCCGCTCGGATGGGAGAGATCAGCTTGGTAACGTAGGATGCTGTGGACCACCGTCTGCCCTTTTTCTTGGTTTCCCCGGGGAGAGAAGACTCAGAGGCGCTTTACTCTTCCCTTCCTCTAGGGGGGGCCCTGGGACTCTGTGCAGCTTGCCCAAGGCTACCCAGGCTGGCTCTTCTCCCAGGAGGCCCTGTGGGGGGATTCGAACCCCCAACCTCAGGCTCCACAGCCAAGACCCCTTAACCCCTGAGCTATCCAGCCAGCTCCAGTTGGCTTACTCAGTTTACTCCAGTTTAATGGAATACATCTACTTTTAAACCAAGAGACGCAGGAGAGCAAATGGAGAGCGGGCGGCTGTTTTTCCTCTAAAAGCCACCAAGATCAGAACAATTTTAACACCATTAACAGCACACCGCTGGGAAAACAGCTTCGTTAAGAAACAGGACAAAAAGTCCAGCCTTTAATTTGTGTACCTGATTATTCCCTCTTTAAAAGACCCCGTGCGCGTGTTTTGGGTCTCATTTAAGGAGGAGGGGGGAAAATCACCTTAATTTAAGGGAAATAATAACCACCGAAGCCTTATTCATCCCTCATCTAGAACATTGTCCAATTTGGTAAAATGGTTTGTCTGGAAAACATTTTATAAATTGGTTTGCGCGCTGGTGCTTATTATTTTTAAAGGGCTGCATGCAAAATTAAAGTAGCCTAGCAGACTCCTTTTTTCATTTGATTGGAAGCACTGATATCTTAATTTTGGCGAGCAATTGGAATGGTAAACATGCAAAGGAAAAAAAATGGAGATTTTTCGACAGACCCCCTGTTTCTGTTTTTCCAAATCCCCCTTTTCCTCTGGTTTATTCTCTAGCCGATCCTGGAGAGAGATTCAGTGGGGAATCTAACAAAGCCCATGGGACAGAGCTTTGCCCAAATCCTCTCTGGCTCTCCCTCCTTGGGAAGCCCCCCCCCTTTCACAAATCGGCCGTCTTCTTGGTCTCTCCCCCATAGAGTCTGTTTTACGACTTTCCGGTTATCAGTCATGTACTTGGCAACTGTTTAGGGGCGCCTTGCTTTGACAAGTTGGCTTCCAAAAACAGGATTAGAACTGAGTGGAAGCTGGAAGCCTGGAGGAATTTGCCTGCAACCAGACAGAAGGAATTTTCTGGACTTTGCTGTCTTTCTTTTAATCCCGTGGAGTTACCTTAACGTGTTGTTTTTCCTGTGCTCTCGAGTTGCCCCCCCAACTTATGGTGACCCTATAGATGAGCGATCTTCAAAATATCCTGTCCTCAATGTCCCTCTTCTGAACTCAAAAGTCGTGGCTTCTTTTAGGGTGCCCGTCCATCTCATATTTGGGTCTTCCTCTTCTCCTGCTGCCTTCAACTTTTGCCAGCATGATTGTCTTTTCCGGAGTCATTACCTTACAAAGAAGGAGACAAATAACTTAATTTGTGCTTGGGCCTCTTCTCGGACCCTCAGATCTCCAGACAGCTTGTCCTGAGTCACAGAAACAGGTGCCAGAGGAACTCCTGGCAACCAGAAAGGGATAAAAACATTTCACTTGGCCTGGGCTGCATGGTGGAGGAGAGAGGGGATCCCTGACAGGGGAAGACATAAAAGCTTTCCCCCCCAACAGCACATCTGCCCTTCTTTAGCTCAATGGCTTATGCCTCTGACTTCGGAGCCCGAGGTGGGGAGTTCGAATCCCCACTGGGCAGCCTTCACAGAGGCCGAGCTCAATGATCCATAAGGTCCCTTCCAGGGCTGCCGTTCTAAGAGGATGATGACGACGATTCTTCTCATTGTGTCATTGCAGGCGGAGATGTGACGGCCAAGAACATCTGGCTGGCGGAAAACATCCTGGACATGCTTACGGAGCAGAGGTGGGTTGGGGTTCTCTGGGTTGGTGGTTGGGGGGGCGATGTTGGGGTTCAACCCTACTCGTTGTGGAATGAAGGTGCCCTTTGATCTTGGTAGCCGGGGCCCTCCTGAACCCGTCCTGGCAGGGCAAACGGGCATTCGGAGGATGTCTTGAGAGGGCCGCCGTCGTAGAAGGGAGGGTCGCACTTCTCCAACAGACTGAGCCCCCCGCTGGCACGCCGTGTTTATTCTCAGCAGCAACTGTTCTTTCTCATCACTGCAGCAAGCAATCAAGTTGTTAAAAGCAGGGACCGAGAGCTAGCTTTCTCTCTCTCTCTCTGTCTCTTTCTCTACTGTGTTTATCCCAGGAGCAACTGTTCTGTCTCATCACTGCAGCAAGCAAGCAATTTGTTAAAAGCAGGGACCAAGAGCTAGCTCTCTCTCTCTGTCTGTCTCTTTCTCTCTCTCTCTGTGTACACACTTCCTTCTCCGGGAGAAGCCCGGCTGCGGCCACATTGCCACACAGCACCATCTAGTGCTTCCACGGGGAAGGTGGGTACATTTTGCACACTGGGAATCACTCTTTTTTTTTAAAAAAAAAATCTATTTCAGATCCTTTTTTTTCCCACCCCGCCTTTCTCCTTCAGAAGGGTCCAAGGCAGCTCAGAACGTCCAAAGACACCATTGAAAAGGAAAACAAAAGAAAGGAAATATACAAAGATTGGAAACGATCCACCAGATGCCACTCTCAAAGATTGTAAACAAAAGCAAGGTGGTTAGCCCTGCACATCAATGTTCCAGCAGAGGCTGGAGACAGACAGAGAGAGAGAGAGAGAGAGATTATTCAGGCAGAGTGGGAAGAGAGGGAGACGGAAACCAGGTTTCAGTTAAACCGTACGTCTCTGCAAAATTAGAGAACAAAGCTGCAGTTTCTCAGAGGCGCATGGAGCCTATGGTGGCTTGAATGCTCATTCCTCTGCTTTGGTGACCCCATGAGGACCCTGTGTTACTGCTGAAACGGTTGGGAACCGGTGCTTTAAGGCATCCGAGGCCTGTCAGCTCCATCCTCTGGAGCAGATCCGGTGGTTTCGTCACTGGGGGGGTGCCACCTTTTGCATTCGGGTCTGGTGTGTGGACGCTAAGCCACGTCCGGGTGTCCTTCCTTTCAGAGAGTGGGTGCTGAAGAGCGCCATGCTGATTGCCATGTCCGTCTACACGTACCTGCGCCTCATCGTCGACCACCACGGCGCCCCTCTCCTCCAGGCCCTGCGGCAGAAAGAGGTGGACTTCTGTATCTCTCTTCTCCGGGACAAGGTGAGACCCAGAACATTGGGCTCTCTAAATCACGGCTGGGGATTTATTATTTCATGGATTCCGACGATTTTTTAGCCCACCTTTTATCCTTAACAATAACACAGGGAGAGTTAAAGCTTGGCTGAAGAGAAGGGATCTTGACCTGCTTGCGGAAGGACCGCCGAGATGGGGGCCAGCCTGGCCTCTAGTGGCAGGGAGTTCCAAAGTCTGTGAGCAGCCACTGAGGAGGCCCTCTCCTGTGTCCCCCATCAAGGGCATCTGTGAAGGGGTTAGGACCGAGAGAAAGGCTTCTCCTGAGGATCTTAACACCCGAGCTTGCTCATAGATGGAGGCACAGTCGTTGAGATAGCTGATTAGGGCTTTATAGGCTAAAATCAATGCTTTGAATTATGCCCGGAAATGGATCGGCGGCCGGTGGAGCTGCTGTAACAGGGTTTGTATGAGTCCCATAAGGAAGAGTTGCTTTTGTAATCTGCTACGGGGCCTAAAATCTTCCAGCCGAAGAGGGAGCCATGCCCGGGAAAAAAAGTAACTTCTCTGTGTGTTGAGGGGGTTTCATCTCTCCCTGGTAAACCCGAGACCAACCTCTTAGGTGTATCTGGGGGGCAAAAGTTCCTGCTTCCAGAACCAGCATGACTTTCCTCTAGTCGAAAATGTGTAGGGAAAAAGAAGCAGAATCAGCTGCAAATCCACCTCTTGTTTTTTTTTTTTTAAGTTCCTTTTTTTAAAGTGTAAAACTTTGCAGGAGTCCTGAAACAAATCGTTCCTCGTAAAAGCTCCCAGGAATTTCACCCTGCTTGTTTTCGGCCTGGGGTAAAAGTCCTTTTTCTTGAGACGCAGAAGGAAGGGACTTTGGCTGAGATGGGGTTTGGCCCTAAAAGCAGCCTTGGGAAAGTTCTGTAGGGAGGTCAGCCCCCCCGGCCCCAAAGTAATCCTTCTCCCGGACACACAGAGGCGAAAGGCGGAGGCCGGAGTCTTGGCTGCTGTGCTTTGGAGGCCCACCTCTGGTCTTCCCCCTGGAGGGGATTGAGAGAGAGCCACAAAACTCATGGCCTTGACTTCGTTTGCGTTCCCAACAGGGGACCCGTTTTTCATCCCCCGACCTTCCTCCCTTGTCAGGCGGCTTCTTTAGAAGCCAAGGAGCTGCTGCCTTCAAAGGGGGTGGGCGTCTACTCAAGGGGAGACCTTTTCCTTCCTTGGACCACGACCGGGGGAGTCCTCCTTTGGCTCCACTGGGATTTTCAGGAGGCAGGAATGTCTTCCCTGTGGGTGGGTCTGTGTGCCGTTTTTTGTCCCCCAAACAGCATGGGTGAGTGACTCCTCCTTTTTCTCCCCCCTCCCAAAGTTCATGGATTGTTTCATGATTGGACGGGATCTGGTGAGGCTCCTGCAAAACGTGGCCCGGATCCCTGAGTTTGAGCAACTCTGGAAGGACATCATCCACAACCCGCAGGTCCTGAGCCCCCAGTTTACAGGTAGGTGGAATTTCGGTTATTCTACGCTGATCCTTTCTTACACGGAAATCCTTGTGAGATCCAGCAGCCGAAATCTGTGAACTGTTTAGCCGTGACCAAGTCACACGGCCCGAGGTGGCCCGTCTGCATTGCACCCCGGGGACAAATGCCGAAGTTCCCCCAAATCCTAGTTGAGTCTATTTCTGGGTAAATAAAATACAAATTCTACGAATAAATGAGAGCTGGAAGCACTTAAGTGGATCACATTTCCTGCCCGGACAGGTTGCTTCGGTGAAGCTCCCCCTTACCAAAATAATCTAGACAATGGGGAGTTTCCATGATCATTAAAAATAATCTTAACAGATTCACTATAGGTCATGAGACCTGATCAAAGGTTCCTTGTGGGGTACGTTCCCCACTAGAGGTGTACATGTCACGGGGGCACGCGAAGGGCCTTAAGATGGTGATACCAGCCTTGTCCCTCGTTGGTCAGTGAGCTCACATCCCAGCTGAACCCCCCACACACACACCAGCTAGATTACTGCAGACCGTTCCCTCTGGGGCCTTCCCTTGGAGACTCCATTTTGGAGGAAACAGGTGGGCTGTGGAATGGGCTGAAATGGAAAGGGGCCATCTTCTCCCCCATGTGGGGTCATTTTCGCTCCCTCCCAGTTCATTTTGATGGGGTGGGCCATTAAAAAGGTGGGTGTTCACCAACAAATGCCATCACATCTTGAGGACTGATAGTGGAGGGGACCTCTGTCCCCCGTATATTCCAAACCCTGATTCCTCGTCAGACGCCTGGGGTCTCCGAGGTTGAGGGGGGGGCGAAAAAAACTTCCTAGTCTCCTGAGCCTTTCGCCCCAGTTCTTTCTGTTACCTTGAGAGTTTTATACTAGATTTATAGTGATGATATTTTTAGATCTGGTTGCTGCGAGGAGGCGGTGTTATCTCACCCGGGGCCCGTTTCTCGTTGATTGATTGGTTTATTTGCTCTCCTTGATGAGATGCGTATGGATGTTATTTGTGTTTTTATTGTCGGTTGCCCTGAGAGCCGTTTGCTGTAGGGAGACCCATAAATTCTAAGGACAGATAAAACTGAGAAATGAAACTTCCTGCCCTCGGTGGGGCAGGGGTAAATTTCGAAGGGCAGGGTTTGGCAGCCGCGCCCTCAGGGAAAATCAGAAAATAGAGGCAACTCTATTGATCTGTATCTAGAAGTATCTCTCTCTGTGTGTGTGTGTAGTATGCATCCAGAATCACCAAATTTTTCCAGGAGGTCTTTTTCCCACCAAGAAGGAGCAAATTACCGTATTTTTCACTCCATAAGACGCACCTTTCCATAAGAAGCACCAATTTTTTAGGAGAAGAAAACAGGAAAATATAATCTGTTTTCTTCGCTCCATAAGACACACAGACTTTCTACCCCCCCTGTTTTGTGGGGAAAAAGTGCGTCTTATGGTGCGAAAAATATGGTATTTTAAATTCAAGGAAGGAATTCTAGAACCCATCTACCACCACCACCCAGGCTATTGTGAGCCTTGCCATTAAGCTTGGCAGAACAGAGAAGCATGGGGAGGAACTGGCAGATGATGGTGGCATTGTCCCCATTGATTCAGAAATCCTAACATTTTGACCCTACAAGTCCTACCTCTTCAAGAGACACGAGTGTGTGGGGTTTTCTTGGAAATTATGGACTATACCTCCCCGGATGTCTGCAGGAGTTCTCCCAGCTAAAATTCTGGGGGCGTTAGCTCCAAACCCCCCAGCTTGTAATGGGATCTGCCGTCACTTTCAGCTGAGAAAGGTGTTGGACCTGATGATGAAGAAAGTGGCTGGCTGGGGCTAAGCTCTACGGGGAACTGCAAGGCATAATGGGCCTGGTGGTCTTTCTGCCTGTTATACTGCCTACAGGGTGCCTCTCCGGAATAACGCCTTGGAGGTTCCTGGGAGCTTCGCCTCGTCCAGACATTTCCTCCACCTTCATCGTGTCCGAGAAAGTCCATCCATTCTCACCTGAAAGTGATGACAGATACCTGAAGAGACTGGGGTTTTTTAGACTCAAGCCCCCAGATTCTTACAGCCTTCTAGAAGACTGTAGGTTAAAAAGAACACACATGAAAATTCAGTGCATATTCCTATTTTCCAAGGAGTAAACAAGGGCAGGTTGATTGAGATCTTCTTCTCGCTGAAAGACACATCCGTCTTTATTCCTTTGACTCCCAATCTGTGTCCCAGAGGTGGAGTTTTGCCATCTTTCGGCCTCCCTTCTTGACACTTCCCTGTGGATTCAGTTACCCCCCTCTGTCCACCCTTGGCATCCTGAGCCGCCGAGGCCACGGGAGCGAGGGACGCTCCAAAAATGTGCGAAAACACCCTCCCTCCTTATTCACGTGGCAGGCCTTTCCCTTCGTTCCCTGGAAAAATTAACATTTGTTTCTCATTAGCTGGACATCCCGGTTCCGCATCTCTGCATCTGGGCCAGATGTTGGCTTCCTCTTGAGAGCCTAGAAAAAAATCTTCCTCTTTTTCTCAGGACGGGAGGAGAGACCGTAACTTAGTTACTAGGAATTCATGACAAGTAACTTGCTGTTTGTAACTAGTTACTCTGAGGCTCCTGCACCGTTTGAGGGTAAACTCAGGACTAGCAAGGCTTTGCTTTCTTTGCGTGGGAACCAAGGGGGGGGGTCTCAGGAAAACCCTCCCCCCCAGTCTCTTCATTTTGATAGTTTTCTGGATTTTTCCTCCTGCACAGCATTGTGGAAGGATCCAGACCCGCCCTGTCTTTGCCTTAAGGGAGCCATTTCTCAAAGCTCCCCGCGGCATTTTTCAGGGCAGTCCTAAGCGGGTTTTCAAGGTGCGTGAGACAAAACGGGTGGTTTCCCACAGTCACCTCCTTGGACTGAGCAGGGATTTGAACCCAGCCCCCCCCCGAGCTGCACTCTACCCACTGTGCCATATTGCCTCTCCTAAACCTTACCGGCAGGGGACAGACACATCTGTGCCGAGAAAGAGAGAGACGGATGAACAGCGGATAGAAGTTTTTGCTGTAAAGATTTTTTTTTTAAGCATCAGAGACACGCATTGGGGGATTTATTCCCCTCACGTCTGTAGAAATATCCGCCTGCTGCAGCTACAGTTCACGGATGCTTCTGTAAAATAAAATTGCTTAGATTTTAAGTTGTCACCGGCTTGACACGGCTGCCCTCTTGGGACCTCCGAATAAAGCCAGCCGGTGGCTGCCAAGTCCCTCTGCTTTTCTGGTTCAGTTCTTCCTCGTCCGCCCAAGGGAGAGCGATGGGACTTTGGACGGATTCTATGAGGGGTGGTTTTTAAGGCCGTTCCGGAAGGGGATCACCCGCGGGAAGGGTGACGCGCTGCCTTGCGTCTTCCTCTTAGGTGGAGCTCGGCCTAGCTAGGCCTTAAAGCTTTCTAGTCTAGGCCTGGTCTCCCAGGCGAGCCACAGGCAAAGACTCCCCGGATGGAGAATTACAGGGTTTGAATTCCAAGGAATCTGAAAGTCCCATCTCTGTCTAAGATATGGTCGCCTTCTGCATGGCTGCTTAACTCCTGGAGAGACATTTCCAGCCTTCTGGGGCCACGTCGGAAAAGGCCGCGTTACGGCCCTTAGAAGGACCCCCCTCCGCAAGAGCAGCCCTTTCTGGTGGTCTTGTCAGGGCATGATGCCCAGCCAGTTCTAAACCCTTTTATTTGTGTGTGTGTGTTTGTGTGTCCCCAGGTGTATTACAACTTCTGCAGTCTCGGACGTCACGCAAATTCCTCGCTTGCCGCCTCACCCCCGATATGGAGACCAAGCTGCTCTTCATGACCTCTCGGGCAAGTTACTGTACTTTCCGTCTGGCGTTTTCTAAAGCACTTCTGGACGTCTCTTCCTCCCCCCCCCCAACCTCAAGAGGCCCAGAGGAGAGATCAGGATTGTAGTTCCTCTGATGCTCTTCAAGCAGGAGGTTCTTCAACTGGATTCCATTCAGGAGAGGCCTGTGGTTCTTGAATTACACTGGTGCCTCGCTAGACGATGATAATCCATTCCACTGAAATCGCTGTTTAGCGAAATCATTGCCTAGCGAAAAGCATTTCCCCATGGGAATGCATTGACACCTGTTTAATGCGTTCCAACGGGGAAGAATCGTCATTGTTTAGCGAAGATTAGCCATAGGAAAGCCGCTTTGCGAACCGCCGATCAGCTGTTTAAATCGCTGTCTTGCGAAGCTTAGGTCCTGAAAACACCTGTTTTGTGAGCGGGGAGGGAGCTGTCAAAATCGTCATCTGGCGGAAATCGGTTTGCGAAGCAGGGACCAAACATTGTCCAGCAAAATTCTCCCATAGGAATCACTGTTTTGCGAATCGCTATAGCGATCGCAAAAAGCCAATGTCATGCGGGGTAACTGTCTAGTGAGGTACCACTGTACAAGTCCACGGAAGACTTGGAGGCAGTGGTGGAGCTTCTGCTTTGCTATCCAGAAAGTCTGGCCATCCCCAAGATTAAAATAATACAGCAGGACCTCCCCATATCCACGGGAGATCGTTTCCAAACCATCCCTCGGATGCTGGAAAACACGGATTTTGGGCAATGCTAAACCTAGTATGGTCTGTGACTCCTCTAGAGGCGAGTTCTGGTCATGGCATTACAGAAATATATTTCTCTAGCAAATACATAGCAAAGTCTCCCACTCCCTGTTGTGGCAGGTTCTGATCATTTCATTGTTAGAAGTATATACTTCCAAGAATTTTTCTTTGAATAGTTTTTTTTTTAAAATTTTGTGAAGCTGTGGGTAAGTGGCTCAGTGGATACTGATCCTGCAGATACGGGGGTCAAACCCTAATTTAAAAAAAAGCAAACCAGGGGAGTGCACCATGAGGGTAGGAGAGGAGCAGAGAGGAGCTTTCAGCCGGAGCGGATGCTTCTATAGGACGAGCGAACGGCTTGGGCCAGATCTGACGTTGGCTTCCCTCCGTCCGCAGGTGCGTTTTGGCCAACAGAAGCGGTACCAGGATTGGTTCCAGCGCCAGTACCTCTCCACCCCGGACAGCCAGTCCCTGCGCTGCGATTTGATCCGCTACATCTGTGGGGTGGTCCACCCTTCCAACGAGGTGCTGAGCTCCGACATCCTGCCTCGCTGGGCCATCATCGGGTGG